CGCAATTTTTATATTATTAAATTATATTTAAGCGATTACACAACCATTGTAATAAGAAAGAGAGTTTTAAATACTTTACAGATCTTTATCGAAACAAAGAAACTAATTCTTCTGCTAATTGTTAAACAAAAACATTGTTGATTGTTACATAACAAAAATAAATCGTAAAACTTAAAATTTAATACGTAAAATCTTTTGCTGATTGTTAAACCAGATTTTTATTTGACTCACAGTTCGTGTTTGTACGCAAGTTTGTACAGTTCGTGTTGTAAGCAAGAATTATCTGCTATTAAAGCTGCAATTTCTTTATTTGTAGGGCATTTATAAGTATTTAGACATGTGCCGAATTGTCTCAGCACTATATCTTTTTCTACATTATTCCATCGCGTACGTTTGCACTTTGATTGTATTTGATTTTCTATAATTAGAAAGAATAAATGTTTGGATTATTCAGAAATATATATTATTTAGATTATTTATATATATTATTCATAATTTTTATATTATTTAGAAATATAGATATAAGATTGTATAATTTTAATCCAAATGAAACCTTTTACACCAATATATATTAATAATGAGTGCGTGTGTGTGTGTGCTTGCGTGCGTACGTGCGTGCGTATGTGTGATGATATAACTTTTAATTTATTAAATATAAAAAAAGAAAAGAGAGAGAGAGAGAGAGAGAGAGAATAGAAGTATATATGTATACGAAATAAAATAATGTGTAAATGAATGATTTCGAATTTAATTATTTATATACAAGGTGGGCCATTTTAAGTGATCCACTCAAATATTTCGGAAAATAATGAAAAATCAAAAAAATGTTTCAGATAAAAGTTGTATGGCTTGAAGGGGGCCATCAGATAGTGGCAATGATTTGACCTTGGAGAGTCATTTGAAGATGACGTAAAGGTAACCTTCAATTTTTTAAATGGAACTCCCTATTTTTTATTACATATTCGTGTAGCTTATCTCGAGAGCTTTCCAAAACACTATAATAAAGTATTTCTTCATTGAGTACTTTTCGAGTTATGAGGCTTGAAATCATTTCTTAATTTTGTATAAACCGTAAAATATCTAGTAAAATATTCATTTTTCGATTATCTTGCTTTAATACTTTTATATACAAAATAATGAGAGAAATCAATTGGTGTAAAAAAAACACATAGTTATTTCAAAGAAAAAATATGTAATTATTAATTGCAAATTACATATTTTTTCTTAAAAATAACTATGTGTTTTCTTTACACCAATTGATTCCTCTCATTATTTTGTACATAAAAATATTAAAACAAGATAATAAAAAATGAATATTTTACTAGATATTTTACGGTTTATACAAAATTAAGAAATGATTTCAAGCCTCATAACTCGAAAAGTACTCAATGAAGAAATACTTTATTATAGTGTTTTGGAAAGCTCTCGAGATAAGCTACACGAATATGTAATAAAAAATAGGGAGTTCCATTTAAAAAATTGAAGGTTACCTTTACGTCATCTTCAAATGACTCTCCAAGGTCAAATCATTGCCACTATCTGATGGCCCCCTTCAAGCCATACAACTTTTATCTGAAACATTTTTTTGATTTTTCATTATTTTCCGAAATATTTGAGTGGATCACTTAAAATGGCCCACCCTGTATATATATATAGACTAACTTACTGCTATTTATTTTTGTTTTACCTTTTATTATTTTATTTTTCTTTCTTTTCGGAGCAGGATCGCTGTTGGTAAGCAGATAGGAGGATTCTATAAATAAAATATAATAAATAATATACAATAGTATTGTTATTATAATTATATTTCCATAAAAACAATTAGTTTTTTATATAAAATTTGATAATTATAAAATAACGATAATGATTACTATTTCATACCTTGCACGTCATAATCAAAATTATTATTAGCTAAATCATCAGCATTAATATCATTTAAGCTATCACTATTTAAGATATCGCTATTAATATAACTGATACTACTATTATCATGGTTATAAGTATTGTTATCATCTGTATCAGAGTTATCTATATCAGAATTACTATTATTTGTACCAAGTGCAGCTTCCAAATATTTACTGATATTGAGAATATCCGCTTCTTTTTGAGGTAATCTATAATATTCTTTATGTATATTTTCTTTGTGTCCCATAAAATTCGCCAATTCAGATACTTCATGTTCTGTTAATTTTAATTTGTGACAATTAGTTGCGATATGTTTTCTTAGAAGAGTACCTCGCAGTCTTTCAGGATGATCAGCTCCACATTCATAAGCAAATTTCCGCATTTGATCACACGCTCTTAAAACTTTAAATCTTTGCTTATTGAAACCTGCTATACTGAAAACATATGGATTTTTTGGATGTACATTAGCTTGATTTCGGTATTGTATAAATAATTTTATACAATCTAAAATATCAGATTGTAATAAAACGGGAACAGGACGACCTAACTTTTCTCTAATTTGAAATCGCACATATTTATGTGCAATTTCTTTGGCTGAGTCTGAAAGGGATTTAAAAAGATCCGGATCGCTTTGTTCATTTAAACCTTCATAAGTATAAAAATCTTCCAATAATATTCTTTGTATTTCACCTGCACGTTTTCTGTTGTATATTTGTATAGAAATTAATGTAGATTCACCCAGAGTTTGCCATATATTATAAGAAAATTTTTCTTTTAAAAGGTTATATGCTTCACGTCTCTTAGTATTTACGTAATCATAAAGCTTTTTTATATCGTTAATGCTTGGAGCTATTTCCACTTTTTGTCGTGTAATATGTGCTCTTGTTTCCATTACTGTTTTATTAACTGAATGGCCAAAATCTTCTTTACGAAGTGAAAGAAAATCTTCAACTAGAATCTTTTTAATAGAATCATGACTTTTAATACATTGTGATCGCCATAATTCACCGACTTCTTTTAATAATGTACCTAATTGAAATGCTGTAGAAGCGGCATCAAACTTCTGAGTATCTGGATTATATCGAGCTATTTCATATACTGCTTTAATGCAGTCATCGTAATATTTTGGCTGATATAATGAGGCAAAATCCGTAATTTCATTATTTATATTTTTTAATGCCTTTAGAAACCGTCCAAATGTTCGCAATCGATTTCGCACCATGTCGTGTTGATGCTGAGGCTTATATTTCATACAAAGTTTATTACTATATCGAATAATTAACTCATCATATCTTATGAGACGTGTAATAGAATCTTCTCGTAATACTGGAAAAATCACTTTTTTTAGAGTTTGAGAAGCTATTTCGTTAATCCTTCCAAGAATTGACCGTCTGAGAACTGTAATTGTTCGATTTTTGGAATGTTTTAAATTTATACATTTTCGAGTATGATTTCGTAAAGTGTTTTTGGAAAAAAATCCATGGCATTTGATACACACTCCATATTCACTAGCTTTCTTATTAAATTTAATGTTCGGTCGTCTAACAACATGTAATTTGCCATCATTTAACATTTTATTTGTGTTTAATTGAAATTCTCCTCCCCGACGTATTGTTTCAATTATTCTTTTACGTTCAAGACATCCTTTTGGTAATTGTGCGAATTTTTTAACATCTTCTTCATTATGATGTACATTTTCCAAGTGTCTTGCAATTTTTGATTTTGGTAACTTACAATAAAGAAAAATAAAAAATATAAACAAAATTAAAGGCTCTCGAAATTAACAAAATAAATTAAAATATTGATAGGCCATAAGGAGCCAAACGCGGATGTAAGGCGTGTTCTTTTAAAATAATTATCCAAGAGAACGATCAAATTAAACGGTCATCTTTAATACCAAACGTTTCGGACTCAATTCGAGCCTTCTTCAGTGATTCTGAACAAAACAAAAAAGAACCACATGAGATATATACATTAAAACGCAGTCAATCATAATAAAATACGGAAAAAACATAGTCATCATACGTGCATGATTGTTGAGAGAAAACGCGAGCTCATCAAGGCAAGTCAACTCGAAGGAAGCCAGACATACATGGTTCTTTAAACGGTGCAAGGCGCAAAGAGCGATGCACTAAACAAATAAATATAATATGAAAACGTCGTAAAAAAAAATAGTCAAAAATATGCAACTATAGCTCACTCGGTATCGAGAAGACGTGACAAAGACGAACACGAACACTCCGCGCGCACATGGCCGATTAGACAACAGATTTAACTGCCAACGGTGAAAAGACAGTTACGCGTAATCAATAATAACAGTACCGCATGTACAGAGGACGAAAGCAATCAACGTACAACAATCGCAATCAAATCTTCGATATATTATCGATTATCGATAGACAAGAAGCATTCAGCTTTAAGGTGTCGTTCTGGAGATTTAATGCATTTCTTTGACGTTTAATATGGATCATCTCCGATATCAATCTCCTCCCCAGAAATGCCTCCTCATCCAAAATCTCAACGCCATCAAAATCGAGCGTGTGATCCAAAGCTCTGTGCTCGGCAATGACAGACGTGAGGTTCTTTTTATGTTCCTTGAGCCTGGTCTTCAACAAACGTCCCGTTTGTCCCACATAGGAAGCGTTGCAATCCATGCAGTTGATCTTATAGACTATGTTGTTGCGAGAGTCCTTATCTAACCTGTCTTTGCCAACTTTAATGAAACGGCGCAAATTATTTATTCCAGTGTAGGAAAGTTTCACATCTAGATCTCTAACGCATTGTCGGAAACGTTCGGAAAAGTTCTTAACGTACGGAACATTGAAATATGAGATCCTCCCCCCTCCATCAACACCGTCAACCTCATTGTTATCTGCAGTCAAAGTATTATCCAATCTATTGTTGAATCTATGCAATAAAATATTAAGTCGGTCAACAATTGTGCTGAAAATAAAAGGGAGAGGATACCCATTATTCAAGAGAATGTCAATAATGAAATTCTCCTTATGAAATCTCGGATGAGAAAGCCGAAAAACTTTATCGGTTAGACCGATTATCGTGCCCCTCTTTTGGCAAAGGGGGTGTCGCGACTCAAAATGGAGGTATCTCCCCGAAAAAGTCGGTTTATGAAACCAGTTGAAATAAATAAGTCCATGCTCTAAAATAATGGTGACGTCAAGGAAATTCAGGCGATTGTCGACACCCTCCTCCATGGTGAACTGCATCCTTGTGTGGAACGAGTTGAACGTGTTTAGAATGGTGTTAAGCATTGAGGAGGGAGCCGTCAACACAACGTCGTCAACATATCTAAAGTAGAATGGGAGATCCACTGGTAGAGTCGCGATGGCCTTCGCCTCTAAATCTTGGAGCGTGATCTCAGCGTGATCTCAGCGATAATCGGCGAAAGAGGAGAGCCCATGGGTGTGCCAAATGTTTGTTGATAGCAGACGCCGTTGAACATAAAAAATGTAGAGTTCAAGACGAAACGAACTGCTGTTAAAAACTCATCACGAGGTATCTGACAATTGCCTCCTATATAGTCCCATCTATTCGACAGGCTATCAATCGCCAGATCCAACGGTATTCTTCCTCGCCCATTTTCATCGACATTGATCCTTCTTCTTTCTCACCACGTGTTTCTTCTTTCTCTGAACTAAGAAAGGAATGGTTCGTTAATTTGTCTTCTTCGATCATACCTGAAGTAGTACAACTCCTATTACAACTGGGAGAGAAATTTTGTTTGCCGGTTGTTGACAAGGAAAGAACTGTTGTCGATTTATTAAAGAGTGTGGAGTTCAATATCAATAAACTGCCCACAGAGGTTCGCACGTTGGTGAGGAATAGATCTTTTCCGATAATAAATAGCTTTCACAATTCCATCCTACACAAGTCTCCTTCTGATAAAGTTATTCTAAAGTCACTTAACGCCACCAAAAAATTCACAAGAGACAATCCGGACATTCTGTTCACTAGAGCAGATAAGGGTAATATAACAGTCGCGTTGAATAAGGACGACTATCTCTCCAACATGTCAGTTCTGCTAGCGGACGAAAATACGTATAAAGTAGTGAACAAGAGTCCGATTAAAAAATTAACTAGCAATCTTCATGATCTCTTAGTGAGGTGGAGATCGCGCGATTACATCTCCGTTGCGAAATATAGATCTTTGAATTGTACAGATGGTGTCTTACCGAGGGCTTATGGGCTGCCAAAAATTCATAAGAAAAACAACCCTTTACGTATTATAGTCTCATCTAAGAACACACCACTCTATGGTCTCGCCAAGTTTTTACACGATATTATTTACAAGTCTGTTCCGCGACCGGACAGCCAAGTTATTAACAGCGCTCAAGTGGTGGATAGACTGAATGGCAGACGTATTGATGACAATATAAAATTGATCTCGTTAGATGTTATCTCATTATTCACGAATATACCGTTGGATCTGGCGATTGATAGCCTGTCGAATAGATGGGACTATATAGGAGGCAATTGTCAGATACCTCGTGATGAGTTTTTAACAGCAGTTCGTTTCGTCTTGAACTCTACATTTTTTATGTTCAACGGCGTCTGCTATCAACAAACATTTGGCACACCCATGGGCTCTCCTCTTTCGCCGATTATCGCTGAGATCACGCTGAGATCACGCTCCAAGATTTAGAGGCGAAGGCCATCGCGACTCTACCAGTGGATCTCCCATTCTACTTTAGATATGTTGACGACGTTGTGTTGGCGGCTCCCTCCTCAATGCTTAACACCATTCTGAACACGTTCAACTCGTTCCACACAAGGATGCAGTTCACCATGGAGGAGGGTGTCGACAATCGCCTGAATTTCCTTGACGTCACCATTATTTTAGAGCATGGACTTATTTATTTCAACTGGTTTCATAAACCGACTTTTTCGGGGAGATACCTCCACTTTGAGTCGCGACACCCCCTTTGCCAAAAGAGGGGCACGATAATCGGTCTAACCGATAAAGTTTTTCGGCTTTCTCATCCGAGATTTCATAAGGAGAATTTCATTATTGACATTCTCTTGAATAATGGGTATCCTCTCCCTTTTATTTTCAGCACAATTGTTGACCGACTTAATATTTTATTGCATAGATTCAACAATAGATTGGATAATACTTTGACTGCAGATAACAATGAGGTTGACGGTGTTGATGGAGGGGGGAGGATCTCATATTTCAATGTTCCGTACGTTAAGAACTTTTCCGAACGTTTCCGACAATGCGTTAGAGATCTAGATGTGAAACTTTCCTACACTGGAATAAATAATTTGCGCCGTTTCATTAAAGTTGGCAAAGACAGGTTAGATAAGGACTCTCGCAACAACATAGTCTATAAGATCAACTGCATGGATTGCAACGCTTCCTATGTGGGACAAACGGGACGTTTGTTGAAGACCAGGCTCAAGGAACATAAAAAGAACCTCACGTCTGTCATTGCCGAGCACAGAGCTTTGGATCACACGCTCGATTTTGATGGCGTTGAGATTTTGGATGAGGAGGCATTTCTGGGGAGGAGATTGATATCGGAGATGATCCATATTAAACGTCAAAGAAATGCATTAAATCTCCAGAACGACACCTTAAAGCTGAATGCTTCTTGTCTATCGATAATCGATAATATATCGAAGATTTGATTGCGATTGTTGTACGTTGATTGCTTTCGTCCTCTGTACATGCGGTACTGTTATTATTGATTACGCGTAACTGTCTTTTCACCGTTGGCAGTTAAATCTGTTGTCTAATCGGCCATGTGCGCGCGGAGTGTTCGTGTTCGTCTTTGTCACGTCTTCTCGATACCGAGTGAGCTATAGTTGCATATTTTTGACTATTTTTTTTTACGACGTTTTCATATTATATTTATTTGTTTAGTGCATCGCTCTTTGCGCCTTGCACCGTTTAAAGAACCATGTATGTCTGGCTTCCTTCGAGTTGACTTGCCTTGATGAGCTCGCGTTTTCTCTCAACAATCATGCACGTATGATGACTATGTTTTTTCCGTATTTTATTATGATTGACTGCGTTTTAATGTATATATCTCATGTGGTTCTTTTTTGTTTTGTTCAGAATCACTGAAGAAGGCTCGAATTGAGTCCGAAACGTTTGGTATTAAAGATGACCGTTTAATTTGATCGTTCTCTTGGATAATTATTTTAAAAGAACACGCCTTACATCCGCGTTTGGCTCCTTATGGCCTATCAATATTTTAATTTATTTTACAATAAAGACAATAGTATTTCTTGTTACCACTATAATAAAAATTATTAATCGTAAGCTGTGCGTCATCACATCCCGACGTACATTTGCCGTTGACGATAGATTTAAACTTGATCTACTTAAGTTATTAGAAGTATTTGTTTCATTTTTGTTTATAAATTCATTATTTAGTTCGTCATCGTTGCTTTCATAATCAGTATCTCTTGTTGAATCTTCTGATGGTTCATAATCTCTATCATCATTGATACTTTCGATATTTTGTTCTTCCTCTAGATCATCTTTTGCTTGTCCTGTACTTCCTAATTCTATTAAACATTAAAATTTTACATAAACATATGTATGTTCAATTAAGTATGTTCGCTCATTTCATGTATATACATACATTTTACATAAACTACAAAATATCTCGTAAAATATTTATTTTTTGATGAAAGTATATAATTTACAGCTAGTAGCTACATATTTTTTCTTAAAGATAACTACGTGTTTTTTTTACACCAATTGATTCTTCTGATTATTTTGTTCATAAAAGTATAGAAGTAATCAAAAACTATTTTACAAGATATTTCATAGTTTATAAAATTATTGTCAAATTATTGTCAAATTAAAGTATAAAATATCTAAACTATGTTTATTTTTTGACCATTGTATCTTTATAACTTTTTATATTAAATATTGCGAGGAATCGATTTAAAAATTTAAAAAAATTAAGATAGTTATACATTAAAAAAAAGTACATCTTTAAATGATCTTTAAAATGATCTTAGTTAAAATTCAAGATCAATTTCTTTTCTTTCTAAAACCAAACTTTCAAAATCAACTTTTGTTCGAAATCTTGTTTTCTAAAACATGATCTTTTTTTATATTATATATTTAAGCATATTTTTTAAAATGTGATACCTTGTATATATACATTAGACATAATATATTAACCATTGTATAATGTGAATTAATTACATTAACAACGTTTTAATAAAACATAGATACAGCATTTAAGCAAAACATTATTAATAAATCTAATAATTATTAATAAATCTAAATTCTTATTAACTTTCGATAATATCTCCTATTTCGGGAAAATTTTCTATTATATATGTATTATTTAAAAGATATTATCGATTCATCTATAAAAGACACATTGTTAGTATCAATATAGTTTAACGAGTTTTCTTCTTCTTCATTATTATAATTATTTTCGATCTGTTCTAAAATTAATTCTCCATCAAATGTAGATAAATTTAACAAGTTGTTTCCGGATTGATACTTGTATAATCAAATATAATATACACATATATTATATTTGACATAACGTTTGCATATTATATAGAAATGCATATAATAATTTGCTGTAATTGATAATAAATTGTGATGCAACTAAAAAAAAAATGGAAATAAAACATTTCAAAATATCTGTAATTATTCAACAAATAGAAAATATATTTTGCGTAAAAATTTCTTTCATCTCCACCAAAATTAATTTAGTTAATAAATTAATAAATTAATTTAGCATTAATTATTGCGCGAAAATTACAAAACAATACAGAACTTTTTTACTCGATTTAATCCGCTCTATCCGGACATCTTGTACACATGTATATATAGCTTGTATATGTACATTGTTTTAATTTTATCATGCATTGACAATATTTACAAGTATTGATATTATGCTTATATATATGAAGTATATAAAATAGTGTTCTTCATGTACTTCATATGTGCTTACAAAAGAGTGTCCTGTTGTCATAAATTATGACAAATCTTCACATAATTTTATAACTTTGCAACTCCTAACAGAGGAAATTATAGTTTATTATGTTACATATTTGCAATAACTATCAAATTGTTTGAATTTTGATTTATAACATTAATGTTATGCAACATTAAGAGAGTTTACATATAAAAATATAGATATTTACCTGCACACTTCTGGTTCTATTGCAATTATTTTAGGTTCATTTTCCTTATTACAAATTATATCTTTATTAGAATTGTCATCATTTATTAAGTTTTTATAAAATGCACGATTAAATGCAGCAAGTAAAAATGGATTATCTATAAGAAATATTCAGGTGTTGAAATAAAATTTTTATTATTTCAAAATAACAAATTTAAAATAACATATACTAAGTAAACTTGATAAGTAAACGAATATTGTAAAATATTTCAAATGGAAATATTAAAATTCATTTATCAGACATTTATTTGTAAGTTTGAATTGTTTTGTATATTATTAAATAATTATTAATTTTTTTTCTAATAATTATTTTGACATAAACATTGTTATAATTTACATCGTTTATTTTACTTATCTTCAATTCCATTCGTTTATGTATTAATAAATAATATGCAATAGTCTGCAAATATATTATGTTTATTTCTTAATAGACATTTTTTCATGACACAAAAATTATATATACCTGTATTTCCTAATTCTTTCTTTTCATTATTACATGATTTTAATTCACTCTTTTTTTGAATTTCATGATTATTATTCTTACTTTCACCTTTTTGTAATACGATATCATAGCATATATTACTTTGATCCTTCATCTTCTTGTCTACAGTTGTTTCATTTCTATTGTTTTTATTTCTATCTTCACAATTGTTTTGCAAGATATATGTTTTATTAGCTGCATAAATAATAATAATGTTACATACATACATTCACACATTAAAAGTTTAAAAAATATTTTAAATATAATAATGCAACTTACATGTGTGTGATTTATCTTTCAGAGCATCATATAATTTAATATTTTTGTTTTCTTTCATAATGTAATCATTCGTTCTTTCACTGTCATTATTATGCAAATAAATGTCTGAATTTATTTTATTTTCTTCTATCTTTTCTATTTCTACATTTATTTCACTTTTGTTAGTTTCACAGTTGTTAAATATTTCAATTTGACCTGTTTCTTTCTTTTTACAACTTGCTTCTAACTTATTTTTTATAACTACAATTAACAATTTCGAAATATTATAGTGTATTATTAATAATTTTAATAATAATAATTTTGACATGATAATTAACAATCAAAAGATTTTATGGAAATAAAGTAAAAATATTTTAAAATATATATTAATATAATATTATATAATATTATTTAATTAATATATATTAATATAATATTAATGTAATAATTACATTTCAAATTTTCTACAAGCATTTAGTAATCAGTATATAAAATAAAAATATAGATTTTATAATAAGAAATTAAAAAAATACCTTTTGTTTGAAATTTATTTAATACTTTTTCTTCAGTTATAGTTGGAAACTTCTGCTTTTTAAAGTACGTTTCACCTAATTTATAAAAAAATATATTAAAATTATATAATAATGTTATACATATTAGATAACTGTCATAAATTTCAAAAATTAAAAAACTAAAAATATTTTGAATTATTTCTTTCAATACAGTTTAAATTATTTT